AGTTTCCAAGAAAGACATTCTCTGTATTGTGATTGCTTCTCCTTACTGTTCTCATTCATTGAACCAATTGCCAATGCACTTTAGCATACTCAAAAATTTACTTTCCAAGCTAAAATGGACATATCAGTGATTCACACAGTTACATTACTTGTAACTGACCAAATATAAAATTTGATGTTACTGATCATTTGATCAGTACACTGAATATAATCAGTACATTTAATAACAGTCACCCTGAGAAGGGGTCACTGGCCTGAAAAAAGCTGCCATTAAATTTTGGGTTTCTGTCTATTTTGTTTTATTAATAGAACCATATGTTTTCCTATTGGATAAGCTCTTTTTTTGCTATTTTTGTTTTTTTTATTTAGTAAATATAAATTTTCCAAAGTACAGTTTATGGATTACAGTGGCTCTCCCCCCTCCATAATTTCCCTCCCACTTGCACCCCTCCCATCTCCCGCTCCCTCTCCCATTCCATTCACATCAAGATTCATTTTCAATTATCTTTATATACAGAAGATCGATTCAGTATATATTAAGGAAAGATTTCATCAGTTTGCATCCACACAGAAACACAAAGCATAAAAATACTGTTTGAGTACTAGTTATAGCATTACTTCACATTGGACAACACATTAAGGACAGATCCCACATGAGAAGTAAGTACACAGTGGCTCCTGTTGTTGACTTAACAATTTGACACTCTTGTTTATGGCGTCAGTAATCTCCATAGGCTCTGGTCATGAGTTGCCAAGGCTATGGAAGCCTTTTGAGTTCGCTGACTTTGATCTTATTCTGACAGGGTCATAGTCAAAGTGGAAGTTCTCTCCTCCCTTCAGAGAAAGGTACCTCCTTATTTGATGGCCCCATTCTTTCTACTGGGATCTCACTCACAGAGATCTTCCATTTAGGTTTGTTTTTTTTTGTTTGTTTGTTTGTTTGTTTTTTTTTTTTTTTTTTTTTCCAGAGTGTCTTGGCTTTCCATGCCTAAAATACTCTCATGGGCTCGTCAGCCATAGCCAAATGCCTTAAGGGCTGATTCTGAGGCCACAGTGCTGTTTAGGACATCTGCCATTCTATGAGTCTGCTGTGTATCCCACTTCCCATGTTGGATCGTTCTCTCCCTTTTTGATTCTATCAGCTAGTATTAGCAGACACTAGTCTTGTTTGTGTGATCCCTTTGACTCTTCGACCTATCAGTGTGATCAATTGTGAACTGAAATTGATCACTTGGACTAGTGAGATGGCATTGGTACATGCCACCTTGATGGGATTGTATTGGAATCCCCTGGCACATTTCTAACTCCACCATTTGGGGCTAGTCCTATTGAGCATGTCCCAAATTGTACATCTCCCTCTCTTATTCCCACTCTTATATTTAACAGGGATCACTTTTCAGTTAAAATTTAAACACCTAAGAATAATTGTGTGTTAATTACAGAGTTCAACCAATAGTACTAGAACAAAAAAAAATACTAAAATGGATAAAGTATTACATTGTACATCAACAGTCAGGACAAGAGCTGATCAAGTCACTGTTTCTCTTAGTGTCCATTTCATTTCAACAGGTTTCCCCTTTGGTGCTCAGTTAGTTGTCTTTGGAGAACTTAATTTCCTCCAGTCTCCTCAAAGTTGGGGAAAATCAGTGTAGGCCTCTTGCCCACTCTGTAATTGTCTGCCAGTGGTTTTAATTATTTCAAAGAAAATTTGAGAAAGGTATTTTTCAGGCCCGCTTGTACTACCCTCCCTTATCTGAAAACAAACAAAAAAAAAAACAAAACTTCATTCATTTATTCAAAAAATAATGATTGAAAAATTTCCACATGGAAATCACTGAGCACTGACTTTGTGGAAATTGCACTCTAGTGGGATTGAGGATGCAAACAGACATCTCTTAAAGTACACTAAAAATATAAAAATGAAAATTTCAATAGGTGCAATAAAGGACAAACACCTGACACTACAAGAATACAGAGAACTGACGCTGGTGCTGTGGTGTAGTGGGTAAAGCCATTGCCTGCTGTGATTGCATCCCATATGGGTACCGGTTTGAGTCCTGGTTGCTCCACTTCAGATCCAGCTCTCTGCTATACCCTGGGAAAGCAGTAGAAAATGGCCCAAGTTCTTGGGCACTTGCACCCGTGTGGGAGACCTGGAAGAAGCTTCTGTCTCCTGGCTTTGGACTGACCCAGCTCCAGCTGTTGCAGGCATTTGGTTAGTGAACCAATGGATAGAAGACTTTCCTTGCTCGCTCGCTCTCTCTCTCTCTCTCTCTCTGCCTTTTTTTTTTTTAATGCTCCAAAAATGTTCTACTTGTTAATACCAAGACAGGTAGGTTTAGGTTTCAACATGAAATTTGGAGGGACAAACTACAGCAGGTCCTTCTCCAGCTTCACCCACAACACAAATGGTTTTGGCAGAATTTCCCACAAAATTCTGTAAGAAGCCATCCCCCTTCAAAGATGTATTGTCTTTCTCCTAACATTTTTCTCTCTGCCTTTGACTCTCTGTAACTCCACCTTTCAAATACATAAATAAATCTTTAAAAAGAGAGAGAGAGCGAGAGAGAGAGAATACAGAGAATTGATTCTGACTAATGTCTCAATTCACTTCCAGTTCCTATCTGTGTCCGTACAGCCTATCTATTAACAAGTGAAAACTATTTATTTACCCTTTGAATCTGTCCTGCTTTGTGATGTGGTCAATATAAAGTAGCAGATATAACAGTATGACTAGGCCACAAGACTTATTGTGAGAATCTCCTCTTTCTTATTCTTCTATCTTCATCAAGAAAATGAGCCTTGATCACTCTGCTGGTTGGAGAAGATCTAAGGAGCAAAGTGAAGTCAGCCCAGTTGCCCTAGTCCAGGCCCTGCACATGTGCAAGAGGCCCAAGAATATCAACAAAGTTACCTATTTCATTCCCAGCAGAAGACAAACACATGGATATGTATACTCAAGCAACAAATGCACCTACTTCACTCATAGCTGACGACACAGACACACGAATGTCCACAACCACCCGCTTCTCTGGTCAACCCTGCTGACCCAGAAGCTCAAGAACAAAATGAACAGTTACGCTAGTGCACCCATGAGGTCTCCCAGTTGGTTGTTAGCAGCATAAGAATGCAAACTAATAATGGATTGTGCTGCACAGTTATTCCTTAGGCATCCACCAGGGTTTTGTTTCAGGACTCCCAGGGATACAAAAATCCAGGAATTCTGAAGTCCCTTACACAAAACATAATAGTAGTTGTAAATAACCTGCATATATTGTCCTGTATACTTTAAGTCACCTCTAAAGTACACGATGCCTAGTGCAATGTAAATACTAAGTAAGGAATTGTTATACTATATTGTTTAGGGAATAATGACTATAAAAAGTCTAAACATGCTCTGGACAGAAGCATTTTTTAAAGATTTATTTATTAGTTAAAAGGTAGAGTTAGTGCAAAAGAGAGAGAGATGGAGAGAGGAAGAGAGAGTGACAGAGACAGAGAAGAGAATGTTCCCTCTGGTGCTTCACTCCTCAAACAGCTGCCAATAGCCGAGGCTGGAGGAAGCCAAAGCCAGGAGAAGTGTCTGGGACTGCATCCAGATCTCCCCCTTAGATGGCAGGATCCAAGTGCTTGGGCCACCATCTGCCACTCTTCTCTGTGCATTAGCAGGAAGTCAGATCAGAAGCAAAGCAGCCAGGACCTGAACCAGCACTCATACCTAGCATTGCAACCAGTGGTGGGTGGTTTGCTGGCACAAAGAAGTAATTTTTTTTTTCTGAAAATTTCCAGTCTATAGTGATTGAATCTGCAGATGCAGAACCTACAAACCTGGAAGGCTGACTCTATGATTATTTGCTGTGTTCAGGTGAGGCTTTCTTTTGGAAGTTATTCTTCAGGCTTAGGTGAGGGCTGTAATGAAGGTTTAAAAAATAACCAGGAAAATAAAAGAGCAAAAGAGCATCAAAAATAAATAAAAACAGTGGCACATCTGACCACAGTTATAAGGAGGTTGAGGGTAGCTAAAATTTAAATGTCAAAAGGGAGTGTGGTAAGAAATATAGGGTCTAGTAATTTTAAGTTGTTCTGTCTTTAATCTGAGAATAATGAAAATAACTGGAAGGGCTTAAAAGGAGATAAATATGGCTAAATTGCTTCCAGCAATGTGCAGAATGTTAGTAAAAGTGTGGTTTCTTGGGAGGAACCAAGAGGAAAGTGATTATTTTTAGCTTAACACATTGCATCAAGCTATCAGCCTGGCTGCATTATCAAAATAATTTTATGATAGGTCTTCAAGTCTTTAACTATTGGGACAAAATACTTTTAATTTACATTATACTCAAGGCTTAATTCTCCACTAAATAAGGAGTTCAACAAGCAAAAATTATAAAAATTATAAAGACCATAGTTCAGCAGAAATAGTCAAGAGCTATAAATTAATCAAATGAAAAGATGTTCATTTCACTCTTATGCAGTAAATTGTAAAATAGAGATCATTAAAACTATATTACTCTATCATTCTTAATCATTTGTCAATGATTAAAGCGTAGTGATACACATAGGCTTTCCTTTTTTGTTTTTGATTTTTAAATTTTAGCACCTGTATTTAAGAGACAATGTGCAGTATTTGTGTTTCTGTGTCCAGCTTATTTCACTCAACATTATCTCCTCCAGTTGCAACCATTTTCCTTCTAAATTTCCTTCAGTCCATCTAGGAAGGCGTCATTTAAAAATCATGAGTTTTGCTGTTGGACACGCTTGGATTCTACTCCTGCTTCCTCCAAATGATGAGTTTTGCTTCTTTAAGCTGGCGCAATAGAAACCTCTTTATCGAATTCCACATTCCCAAACAAACCTCCACATGCATCCTCCCCCATGCTAATTTATTGACTCACTCAAAATCACCTTTTCCACATCTTATCTATGTTCCTTTTGCCTCCCAGATATTATAATACTGTGTCTTTTGTCAACCATAAAGTGCTACAAAGTATTAATTATGATCACCTTGACTAAAGCCACACCTCCTTTGTAAATCCATTTCTGATTATTCACAACGACTTTTCTCCAGTCCTTTAGAGTTTGTTCCTGGCGCAGAATTAACACCTTAAGTGATGTGTCAGCAACAAAGCTTGTGGCTACAAATATTAGAAAACTTCATTAATGTGACTTAACCAATGCAGTCTTCTATTATATCACTTACGTAGAATACGGAAATAGCTAGATTCAGGCTGGATTGATGCCATCAAGGCTTTCAGTTAATATCTCTGTCATCTTTGTGACCTTGTCTTCTGCAAATGTCTGCAACCCACTGTTATGTTCTATTGGCCAAAACTAGGTCATATGCAAAACCACAGATCAATATCTGGCAAAGGTAGATGGAATTCTCCTGATCAGCTTAGTCCCATCATGACTCAAACTTTCAGCAGTGCACACTCAGATATGTTGGAAGTAAATGATTATTGGGTAGGCAGTCAACTGTGACTGCCCCTCATAGCTTAGCAATCATTCATGCTCTGCTCTTCTTCTACATTTTGCTCCTCTAGAGTTTTAAAAATATTTTATTGAAATACAGTATACATACCAAGAAATGTACATATGTACAGATAAATGAGGATTTTTGCCATTTGGTCACACTCATAACCAACACCAAATTAAGAACAAAGCATTACTAGCACTCACAGAGGCCTCACTAGTCCCTTATAAATTCTTCTTTTTTCATGAGAAATAATACTATATTGTCATATACATGATATGATTCCATGAAGCACTATTTAAAATTATATGTCATCAACACTTTCTTAATACTCTCTGCATATATTAATGACCACAAATAAGACAATATTTGTCTTTTTGGATCTGATTATTTCACTTAGCATAATGATTTCCAGTTGCACCCATTTTGTTGGAAATGTCAGGATTTCATTCTTTTTTTATTGATGAGTAATATTCTATCATGGATGAAAACCACATTTTCTTTATCCAGTCCTCAGTTTATGGGCATTTAGGTTGATTCTACATCTTAGCTATTGTGAGTTGACCTGTTATAAACACCAGAGTACAGGTAATTCTTCATATGCTGATTTCATTTCCTTTGGATATATTCCCAGGAGTGGAATAGCCAGGTCATATGGTAGATCTACTTGTAGTTTTCTGAAGAATCTCCATTCTGTGTTTCATAATATTTGTAAATATTTGCACATTTTTGTACAAAGATTTGTACATTTGTACATTGGTAAATACTTGTAAATATTCCCACAGATGGTGCATTAAATTGCTTTCTTCTCCACTTACCATCATTTTTTAATTTTTGAATTTTGGATAATAGCCATTCTAACTGGGGTAAAATGTTACCTTATTGTGATTTTTATTTGCATTTCCCAATGGCTAATGATCCTGAGAATTTTTTATTTTGTTTGTTTGCAATTTGTAATTCCGTACTTTGAAAAATGCCTATTTATATCGTTGGCTCATTTCTTTACTGGATTCTTTGTTTTGTTGCTGTTGAGTTTTTTGAGCTCCTCATATATTTTGGCTATTAATCATTTATCTGATGTATAGTTGGCAATTATTTTCTCCCATTTTGTTGGTTGCCTCTTCACTTTGCTAATTGTTTCCTTTGCTGTGTAGAAGCGTCTTAGCTTGATGTAATTTCATTTGTCTATTTTTGCTTTTATTGCCTGTGCTGCTGGTGTCTTATCTAATAAGTCTTTGCCTATGCCAGTGTCTTGCAGTTCTTCCCTTATGTTTTCATCTAATAATTTGATGATTCCAGGTCTTGTTAGCTATCTGGTCCGTTGTGGGTTGATTTTTTTTTATAAAGTATAAGATTGGGGTTCTTCTAGAGTTTAAATATCCAATCATGGCAATTGCCTATTGCCGTTTGAACATATAGTGGAATATTTTTGTGTGTCTGAACATGCTGTTTTTTTCTGTGTGGAATCCAACCCTTTGCACATTGTTATCTACTTAGACAAAGATTTGACATCTAAAGCTCTATTGAATCATCACTTCCTCTATAAATCTTTCACTGAACACTACATGCAAGTATATACTTAATGACTTCTTCTTTATATTAGTTCTGTTTATTGTATGTTCCTTCAGAATTGTGCATATTATGCTGCCTTATGATTAACTCACATGTCTATGCCTCAACAGCCCACCCCCTCCCAACATGATTCATTGTTCTTTTTCTTTTTTTAAAAAAGAATTTATTTATTTTTTGAAAGGGGGAGAGAGAGAAAAAGAGAGAGAGAGAGAGAGAGATCTTCTATCTGCTGATTCATTCTCCCAAATGGCCACAATGGCCAGAGCTGGGCCAATCCAAAGTCGGAAGCCAGGAGCTTCCTCCAGGTCTTCCATGTGAGTGTAGGGCCCAAGGACTTGGGCTATCCTCAACTGCTTTCCAAGGTGCATTAGTAGGGAGCTTGACTGGAAGTGGAACAGTTGGGAATCAAACCGGTGCCCATATAGGATGCCAGCACTGGAAGCAGTAACTTTACCCACTTTGCACAGCACCAGCCCTGACTCATTGTTCTTGCTTGCAATTCTCCATTATTTACCCTGAACGCTACTGCAATTCAAAGCATTTGAAGTGGTTCAAGGCAAGACAGCATTTTCCATTACATACTTTTCCACTGTCAGATGCTTAAATAGCAAACAGGGAAAGATAACTATATAGAAACCAAAATGGCTTTGATTCCACATCACACATCATAGGGGAGGGAACCAGTTGGGTATGTTACTGTGAGAAATACTTTGATGAGTCTTGATGACTTACAACAGATAATTCTGGCTAGGAAATATGGGGCCCTCTAGGCATAGCATGATGCAGAGAAGGAACTTTGCTGTTCCACAAGACTAACAGCAGCTTTGGGATTTGGGGTAGCATCTACAGTGATGAGAAGAAGGCCTTCAGTAGGAAAAAGGACCTTAAAAGATGGCAGTAAGATGAGACCAAACTGGGTATAAGGAATGCGCCTTTGGGAGGAATGGCAAATGACATTCTAGATCATAGTATTTAATGTTAGTGGTTTTCTGTATCATATAATGCTAATTTCACTCACCCTTAACCTAAACTTTCATAAAAATCCATCTCACATAAGACCTAGTGGCAATGGTACCCTGGGTAGGATAAGAGGATATGGATATAGAATAGCTATATGTGGAATGAAGTTGGAAGGAAAGAATCAAGAAATCACATAGGCCATGATATTTTTTATAGATGGCCTCTCAGACAAAAGAGTTTTCCCATAATCAGTTAAACTCATTTGATAATCTAATTAATGAAATATGTAGAAATTTCTTCATTTGTCCATCTTTTGTTCCTGGCAGGTAAGCAGGGACATTGTTGCACAGAGGACAGTAGAAAAATTACCCAGAGAAAAGTAACTTACATTATACAATTAAGGGGGAGCCAAAATGAGATTTAGATGTTAGATTCATTCATTCTACCTATCCTTAGGTTTATTGTAAATCATCATCACACCACCAAACACCACAGCCGAACATCACAAGACTTCATTTCTCTTTTTTTCTCTAAAGATGCTTGCTATGGTTTAGATATGGTTTGGATATATCTCATAAAATTTTTTCTGCTTAAGCTTGGTCCCAAGAGTGGTGGCATTGAGATAGTGGAATTTTAAGAACTTCAAGAATAGGAGTTGACTAAGATTATTGGGGGCACCACTCTTGGAATGGATTCAGGTAATTCTTGCAGACAAAAATTAGTTACCAAGAGAGCAAGCTGTTGTAAAAATAGTAAGCCTGGCCTCAGAATCTCTCTGTATTCCTGTCTTGCAATGTACCAGATGACAGATTGCAACTCTTATATGCTGACTTTTCTGATGCCATCTGCCATGAAGGCCTCACCAAAGGCCAACAGATTGAATTACCTGAACTTGGGCTTTCAGCTAGCCAAGCTATAGGCTAAATAAACCTCCTTTCTTTATAAAGTATCCAGCCTTAGGCATTTTGTTATAGCTTCTGACGGACTAATAATGTGGACCTTGTTTTATCAGTTCCTGAAAACTTAGCATTTCACCAGTTAACATAATCATGCAAATATCAATTTGAAATGCCATAGTATTCACTATTAAATAATAAACCTTATCTTCCTGAAAATTTAGAGTGAGATGAGTGATTTAATTACAGGGGCATGCACTCCAGAGAAAAGCCATGTATATTATCACTATTGGGTGACTATATGAGCTCCCAACCTTTGAGATCATTTTGTGGCCAAGAAGATTACAGTCTAGGGAAACAAGAAATGGCATGGTTGATGGGCATTTGATAATCTTTGGGAAAAATATTCTTAGTTGGAAATCAAAACTAAAGATATAAGTATATTCTGAGTCTCATTCTGAATGGAGAAACTCATCTTTTGATGATGCTTATTACATTATCTGGCAAACATGCTCTGGAAAAACATGGAGAACACAGAATATTGCAATTGTTGCCCAACATGCGAAGACAAGCAGGGATGTCATAGTGCAGTACTCCTCAAATTGAGGTCATGGAATAGGGCTTATCTGAGAACCTTTGTCAGTGGTCCTCAATGTAGTAAGTGACAATTGGTAGAAGGAGTTAAAATATCCATATAAATCTGTCAATATGTGCTAAATCTAAGAATAATAATTTTAAAAAGGCTTGAAATTTTATTATTCTTTATTTCATTTATTTAGTAAATTACTTTTATTGTGTTTTATAAAAGCCAATCCCAACACTCTCAGATTCTGTCTGCAGAGGTGCTCATCCATTCTTATGGATGTCCCTATCCTATTAAACCATGCTATTTTGCTTTCCACTACTCTCTGTTGCATGCCTGAATTCTTTCTTGCATGAAGACAAGGACCCTTTGCTTCTCCAGTAACATTTCTGGTAACCACAAAGGGATTTTAAGAAGACATCAAAGGTCAGTATTCCTTTCCTCAAGTAGGACCAGATCTGTGGGAATGACAGCTGATCATCCAGCACCCCACAGCTCTCCGAGAATATGGAGTACCTCCGGCCACGGCTTAGCTACAGCCAAAATTCCAGCAGGATTGTAAGGAATGGGAGGGGAACTAGGAAGGGCAGTTGGCTGAGAGCCTGGAGACCCACCCCCCAAGCTTGCTTTGACTTCCTGGCGACTGGACTGCGACCCAAGGACCTTGCCTCTCTCTTGGAGGGATGTCTGGTCACACTGCCTACTGCTATGTGAATGGGGCTTACCTTCGGACAAGGCTAATATTGGCCCTCTAGGTAAACGTGGATGACTAGTGATATTGGGCAGTAATGAGCAACAGGATGTTCTGAGAACTCAGTGCAACAGTGCGAGTACCCAACCCCAGGGCCAGTCCTATTAGGCCCAAGAGTGCCTGGTCTTCCCTGTAAATGGGGCACCATGGCCTTTTCCTGTGCTCTCTTCCAGTCAACATGGCCTGCTGCACCCACACAGGCACAGCCAGATATCTCTGGTGAGAGATGAGTGCTATCCAGGGCTGCTTTTTTCCTCTCTCTCCATTTCTAATTCAACATCCCTCTTCACTAGGAAGGGTGGATGTATATTGGAAATATCTTTGCAAAATGGCATGGCAAAGTCAATACATATCAATAGTCACATTGAATGTAAATCGCCTCAATTTGCCAATTAAAAGACACAGACTGGCTGAATGGATTAAAAACAAAATCCATCTATTTGCTGCTCACAAGAAACATACGTTTCTTTTTTTTTTTTTTTTTTTTTTTTTTAGACAGGCAGATTTAGACAGTGAGAGAGAGAGAGACAGAGAGAAAGGTCTTCCTTCTGTTGGTTCACTCCCCAAATGCCCACTACAGCCGGCGCACTGCGCTGATCCCAAGCCAGGAGCCGGGTGCTTCCTCCTGGTCTCCCATGTGGGTGCAGGGCCCTAGCACTTGGGCCATCCTCCACTGCCTTCCCAGGCCACAGCAGAGAGCTGGACTGGAAGAGGAGCAACCGGGACAGAACCAGCACCCCAAACGGGACTAGAACCTGGAATATCGGCACCGCAGGCAGAGGATTAGCCTAGAGAGCCACTGCGCCAGCCTAAGAAACACATCTTTCAAACAAAGGTGCATGCAGACTGAAAGGTTGGAAAAAGATATTCAATGCCAACAGAAACCAAAAAAGAGCTGGCGTAGCCATGTTAATATCAGACAAAATAAACTTTAGCACAAAAACTGCTAAGAGAGTCAACGAGGGGCACTATATAATGATTAAGGGATCAATTCAACAGGAAGATGTAACTATTATAAACATATATGCACCTAATTACAGGGCAATGGGTTATTTAAAATATATCTTAAGGAACTTAAAGGGAGACTTAGACTCCAATACTATAGTATTGGGGGACTTCATTACTCCACTTTCAGCAGTGGACAGATAAACCAGACAGAAAATCAACAAGGAAACAGCAGATTTAATCGACACTATAGACCAAATGGAACTAACAGATATATACAGAACTTTTCATCCTACACTTGAAGAATACACATTCTTCTTAGCAGTACATGGAACCTTCTCTAGGATTGACCACATACTAGGACATAAAGCAAGTCTCAGCAAATTCAAAAGAATTTAAATAATACAATACATCTCAGATCACAATGGAATGAAGCTGGAAATTAGCAACTCAGGAATCCCTAGAGCATATGCAAACACATGGAGACTGAAAAACATGCTACTGAACAAACACTGGGTCATAGAGGAAATCATAAGAGAAATCAAAAACTTTCTGGAAGCAAATGAAGATAACAACACAACATATCAAAACTGATGGGAGACGGCAAAAGCAGTGTTGAGAGGAACGTTTATAGCAATAGGTGCCTACATCAAGAAATTGGAAAGGCACCAAATACCTGAGCTTTCAGTGCACCTCAAGGATCTAGAAAAACTGAAGCAAACCAGACCTAAAACTAGAAGAAGAGAAATAATTAAAATTAGAGAAGAAATCAACAGAATTTAATCCAAAAAACATTACAAAGGATCAGCCAAATAAAGAGCTGGTTTTTTGAAAAAATAAACAAAATTGACAGATCATTGATCCAACTAACTAAAAAAAGGAGAGAGAAGACCCAAATCAATAAAATCAAAGATGAACAAGAGAATGTATCAACAGACACCACAGAAATAAAAAGAATCATCACAAATTACTACAAAGAGTTGTGTTCCAGCAAATGGGAAATCTATCAGAAATGGACAGATTCCTGGACACATACAAACTGCCTAAATAGAATCTTGAATACATGGAAAACCTAAACAGACCCATATTTTCAGAAACTGAATCAGTAATAAAGGCACTCCCAACAAAGAAAGCCCAGGACCAGATGGATTCACTGCTGAATTCTAACAGACATTTAAAGAAGAAATAACTCTAATACTTCTCAAACTATTCAGAATAATTGAAAGAGAGGAAATCCTCCCCAAATTATTTCTATGAAGCCAGCATCACCTTAATTCCTAACTTGAAAAGGATGCAGCATTTAAAGAGAATTACAGGCCAATTTCCCTGATGAACATAGACGCAAAAGTCCTCAATAAAATTCTGGCCAATAGAATACAACAACACATCAGAAAGATCATTCACCCAGACCAAGTGGGATTTATCCCTGCTATGCAGGGATGGTTCAACATTCGCAAATCAATCAATGTGATACACCACATTAATAGACTGCAGAAGAAAAACCATATGATTATCTCAATAGACGCAGAGAAAGCATTCAATAAAATACAACACACTTTCATGATGAAAACTCTAAGCAAATTGGGTATAGAAGGAACATTCCTCAATATAATCAGAGTAATTTATGAAAAACCCATGGCCAGCATCCTATTGAATGGGGAAAAGTTGGAAGCATTTCCACTGAGATCTGGTACCAGACAGGGATGCCCACTTTCACCACTGCTATTCAATACAGTTCTGGAAGATTTAGCCAGAGCCATCAGGCAAGAAAAGGAAATTAAAGAGATAAAATTGGTAAGGAAGAACTCAAACTATCCCTTTTTGCAGATGATAAGATTTTTTATTTAGGGAATGCAAAAACTCTACTAGGAGACTATTGGAACTCACAGAAGAGTTTGGCAAAGTAGCAGGATATAAAATCAATGCACAAAAATCAACAGCCTTTATATACACAGGCAATGCCATGGCTGAGAAAGAACTACTAAGAACAATCCCATTCACAATAGCTACAAAAACAATCAAATACCTTGGAATAAACTTAACCAAGGATGTCAAAGATCTCTACGATGAGAATTACAAAATCCTAAAGAAAGAAATAGAAGAGGATAGCAAAAAATGGAAAAATCTTCCATGTTCATGGATTGAAAGAAATAACATCATCAAAATGTCCATTCTCCCAAAAGCAATTTATAGATTCAATGCAATACCAATCAAAATACCAAAGGCATTCTTCTCATATCTGGAAAAAATGATGCTGAAACTCATATGGAGGCACTGGAGACCTCGATAGCTAAAGAAATTTGTAAAACAAAAACAAAACTGGAGAAATCACAGTACCAGATTTCAAGACATACTACAGGGCAGTTATAATCAAAACAGCATGATAATGGTACAGAAACAGATGGATAGAACAATGGAACAGAACAGAAACACTGGAAATTAATCAAAACATCTACAGCCAACTTATATTTGATCAAGGAACTAAAACCAATTCCTCGTGCAAGGACAGTCTATTCAACAAATGGTTCTGAGAAAACTGGATTTCCACATGCAGAAGCCTGAAGCAAGACCTCTACCTTACACCTTACACAAAAATACACTCAACATGGATTAAAGATCTAAATCTATTACCCAACACCATCAAATTATTAGAGAACATGGGAGAAACCTTGCATGATATAGGCACAGGCAAAGACTTCTTGGAAAAGACCCCGGAGGCACAGGCAGTCAAAGCCAGAATTAACAATTGGGATTGCATCAAATTGAGAAGTTTCTGTACTACAAAAGAAACAGTCAGGAAAGTGAAGAGGCAATCGACAGAATAGGAA